AATATTAGTCAAGTAATAGTTTACCATGTAGTTTAACAATATTAGTCAAGTAATAGATTACCATTTAGTTTAACAATATTAGTCGAGTAATAGATTACCATGTAGTTTAACAAAACTAGTCAAGTAATAGATTACCATGTAGTTTAACAAAACTAGTCAAGTAATAGATTACCATGTAGTTTAACAATATTAGTCAAATAATAGATTACCATGTAGTTTAACAAAACTAGTCAAGTAATAGATTACCATGTAATTTAACAATATTAGTCAAGTAATAGATTACCATGTAATTTAACAATATTAGTCAAGTATTAGTTTACTTTTTAATTACAGCTGAAAACTTAAATTACTGGTAGTGTATTCCTACTTCTTATTAAATGTTGTGAAGTGTAGTACATTGCATGAAATTATATCATAGTTCTTTCATTTGCAAAAGTTTTGTGGAATAATTTGTTTGGACGAGAAATGTTATAACTTCTAAGTGATATTATAATAATGAACATGTATAAGGTAGAATACTCTGAGGTATAACTACGTGACATATCAGAATGTACAAATTATCAATATACTTCAATTGTGTTTGTAGTAATAGTTCTCTAAGATACTAACTATGCAAATTTTAATAAGGAAATAAAATTAATTTCACAAATAGGCAATCCAAATCTCAATGGAATGATGGTGTGAAACAGACTGCTGCAGCCTCACCTGAGTTGGTACAGTTGGAGGAATCAGCATGTTTGACACTGGAGTCTGAGGTCCAGGAGCCTTGTTCTGAGACTCAGATCCAAACGTACTGTCCGTTGTCGAACCGATGAGGACCTCCATAGAATGCCGATACGAGCCTGTGCTCTGTGGAGAATTCTGAGAAAATGAGAGAGCTGAGAGCGAGTGTCTCTTTTCTTTCTGGTGACTGTTTACCATCCTTCCTTGTGCTGATACTGCTTGTGACGTAGAGAGCGCAGCAGCCGAGACCGTAGGCTGGGGCAGTGATGGGGGAGAGATTGATGTTGAAGAGGAAGAACAGGGTGTTCCAGGACTCGGTGAAGAGGATGATGATGTAGGGGAAGGTGTGGTGGTGGTACTGGACATGGAATCCTGGCCCATAGATGCTGCTGAGCTGCTTGCTATGATCCAATATTAAACCAGTTAATACTTCACATAAACCAGTCATTCAGCAGCTAATAATTAAGTTCTTGCAAATTTATTATCAAGCTATTAATATGAGGTGAAGTAAATCAATATTGAATGTTTGTCCAAAAGTTGAGCATTACACAAATGAAAATTTAAATGTAAATTACAACACTAGACCATAAGAAATTATTGTTTCCAATGTTAAACTGTAAACGTAAGAAGTAGAATTTTATGACTACTAACTTTGATGAGTTTTCTATTAGTTGAAGCACTTTATTCCTCTTTTGGTAAATAGAGATGGTAGTGATTTCAGATTTTTGCTTTTAATTATGTATAGTTTGTGTTTCTAGTTAATTAGACACTCTGAAAGCTAGATTAGATAAAACCAAGCAACAAGATCTTCGAGCACAGATCCATCACGTGACACAGAGAAGTGGTGATTGAGAAACATTTCTTTATGAAATTAAAAATCTTGATAATACAAAAATTTCAATTACAAACTACGTTTTGATGCCAAATTTTTTAACAAACAGTGATAATAAAGTTGTTTAATTGAATTTTGAATGTATCTTTGTAATAGGTCGTGACATGCACATTTTCACCATGCCATACAGAACGATTTAAGTGTACAGTAAGTAAAATAAGACAAACATAGAAACAAG